CACCTCATGTTATAAAAAAAAAGCTTGTAGCCTATGTGTTCTTCCAGGCTATCCTCTACATCTATGCCAAGTTTCATCAAGATTCCTTCAGCCGTTTAGGCTACAAACTCTAACTAACACCCATCCATCCATCTAAACTTTTGCATTTATAATATTAGTAAGATTACTTAAAAGTTTTTTAATGTATCGACTGACGAAATCGTGAGAGACCACTATCTTACAAATGTTATAAATGCGAATGTTTAGATGGATGGATGTTCGTTAGAATTTGTAGCCTAAACTGCTGAACGAATCTTGATATAATTTGGCATAGATGTAGAGGATAGTCTGGAAAAACACAAAGGCTACTTTTTTTTTAATTCCACACAAGCAAAGGCTAATTATTACATAAATATTACGCAATTCCGTTTAACATAATGCTAAGGACTGAAATGAATTACGATACAAAGCAGATTGGCTATCGAAGATCGGATCATTAAATCTAATATTCTTAAGGAAGTGAAATTATTTAAAGGAAAATTAGCTTGGAAACAAATAATTAAGAACAGCGCCCTCTATATTTTAATTTTAGCGAACCGTTATTAAAGTTGCTTTTGCCAAATGCCATGCGTCGTTAGCTCGTAGAATTTTGTGAAATTAAATGCGGAATAACTGCGAATGTATATACAATTCTGTGTTAATTTATAATTGCTTTAATGATTTATGGCGTGGAAAATACTTGGCGCAGATTTAAGATACAACTACAGAATAATGAAACGGATCTTATATTCGCTTCGAAATTGAAACATAGAATCTAAGAGTCGTTATAATTTCTTTCATCAACTTGCCCTTGTCCATATAGAGGGTCGGCACAGTATGTGCTACTCCAAACTAAGGTTGTAACGGAACTTCGCTTCCGCATCCGCAAGTGCGGAACTTCCGCTAGAAATATTAACTCCGCATCTGTTATTTCTTATGTGGAGTTATAACGGAGTTTAATTTACGTCATTAACGCGAGTATGGCGATTAGGTATCGTTTATGCAGCGCGCCTGGGCGTGCTAGGTCAACTAATTATAATTGTATCTTATATATACTGTATCTTGTAATTATGTACTATTCTGTATTTTTCTTCCTTTCTCTTCCTTCTCCGTTTCTGCAGAGGTTAAACCCTTCGCCTACGCATCCGCATCCGCTTCTGTCAAAATGGCCTCCGTTACAACCCTACTCCAAACATCTGACACATTTATCAGCTGCATTGTATTAATTTTTGTTCCGCGTCCCATTTAAAAAATTCTCAAACGATTTAGCTTTTAAGGTGGAACAACACTAGTTATCTCGACTGTACCGAAATGCTTCACACTCAAGACAGAGTCGCAGATCAGTAGGACAATGAGTTTGAATAACACTATGTCAGTAAATAAGCTTTCAAACAATAGCAGTACTGCAGTACTGCTCTGCAAGTTATACTAATGTGTACATTGTGCTGCGAATGATTTCTCTAAAGCCGTGCGACTCTGATCCAACTTTGGGCGGTTTTTGCTTAGACTGTTCATGTTACAACATCTGTTACATTCTGGGTTGAGATTTTCGAATATGATGGTAATACTAAATGATGCTAGGACACTACATGTGACTACATAACATTGGTACGGCGGGATTCGAACCCAAGACCTGTAGATTACAAGTCAAGTGCTTAAACCACTGAGCCACCGATGTTCCAGTCCAATTTAATATATGTGAAAGGTGGTCCGTATCGTCTGTAAAAGGAATTAAATATCCCGACCGAAGCTATAAAAGACCTTCATTATTCGAACCAGGATTCATTTGCGATAAAAAAAGGTCAAAGGTGCTATTGAAGGGATCCATTATCGATCTTTAATTTAAGAGAGTTTATTAAAATGTGTGTTGAATTTGTAAAGAAGTGTATTATAACCTATATTATTTTATTTGTCAATATAACTCAAAGTATTCATTAAAACATTAAAAGAGCCCTTTGAATATCAGACACGTACACTGAGCATCTGTTTATGTAACTGTAGCTGTTGCCCGCGACTTCGTCTGCGTGGTATTAGAAAATAAAAACTATATAAATAACAAAAAACTACGTATCCTTCGGGAACCATGCATTTTTCGGGGATGAACCTTATCCTGTACTCCAGACTTTGTTTTGTATCTGTGCCAAATTTCAATAAGATATTTTGAACCGATGCAGAAATATACATCCATCTAAATTTTCGCATTTATAATATTAGTTTGAAGTATGATAATTAGTAACGCAAGTTCCAACTGAACAGAGTATGCATATTTCAGGCGTGTCATTCCATCTGTTCCACATTTAGATACGAGAGTAACGAGGTATAGTCGGAATGAAATTATAAAGCGTTTCCAGTGAAATGCTGAGTGTACAACTTTACTCATAACGGGTAGCCGGCGGTTTTGAGTGAACCTGGTTGAATATTTACACCACAATGATGCACCATTCTTCTCATAATTATCAGATTGCTTTTGACAATCGACAATCGCACAATTGTTTAGTCACGCACAAGGACTGTGCAACACTACTCGAATTTTAGTTGTGCTAAACCAATGAATTGGCTGCGAGACAATTGACAATCACCTGCATATAGTTTAGTCAACGGTATCCACACCTTAGCATGGTTTATACTTTAAAGTAAACTAAATATTTATACTGTCTTTAGCAAGCATAACAATACTATATTGCTCGCGACTTCATCCCCGTGATATTAAAAAAATAATAAAGAACACATAGCGTATGTTACTCACAGATAAATAACCTTTCTAACGGCGAATCTTTAAAATTGGCCCAGTAGTTTTTGAGTTATTTCAATACATAATGACATACAAATGTTTCCTTTTTAATAACATTTTAGTGACATTTCCTGGAATTTCGAATTTATGAAAATGCCGACATCACCAATGCAGTTACCGCTCTATTGGTCAAAATATGACGCTTTCAAGACATTGTAAGTTACCAAAATTGCCAACTGCCATATCGTTGTAGGTCATGCGGAGAGTAACTAAATGCTGATTTTTATGAATGCGAGCCGCCAGCTCGCTCTATCCTGGGCTCTGCAATTTGTTTCGGGTCATGACAGCCCGATTGCCTTCAAGTCGGCCGCCACTAAACGCCGCCAAGTTTGTTTATTGGTCATGCTTTCTTGTTCCTTGTGGGACCCAATCCAGGGCCTCCCTGGGAATGTGACAGGGAACCATAATCATCCAATCCATAACCACTTGTGGCGTTTTATTTGCTGGTGTCGTAAGAGTAGGGATTTTTGAATTAAAGAAATAATTATTAAAAAAAAAAATGCTGTGATTGCTGACATCCAACTCGACGAAGTAATGTGTTTACGCTTTATTATATTAGTATAGAAGTATAGCTAGTAACTTACCTTGCACTGTGGGAACTGTTCAGGTGGCCTGGTGACTCTCCATCCAAGCAGCGGCGGGATGCAGACCAGCGCACTCATCAGCCACACCGCCGCTATCATAAGTGCAGCTCGGGCTGGAGTGCGTTTCTTAAGGTAGTCCACCGCCTGCAGAATAAAGAATCAATTTAGGACTATAAGAATTTGTATACATTTTTGTAATTATCTATTGCATGGCTATATCTGCATGACTTTCTTACTTAGTTACTTACTTACTAAGTCAGTACTTTGTTAACTTACTACGTTTATTCGTTTAATGTACTCGTCGTTGTAATCTTTACTATAATGTTATAAAGAGGAAATATTTGAATTTTTGTATGTATTGAAATAACTCAAAAACTACTGGGACGATTTTAAAAATTCTGTCACCACTAAACAACTATACGTTATCAGTGAGTAACATAGACCGTTTTTTGTTATTTTTTATTTCACAGGCGAAGTCAGGAGCAACAGCTAGTAATGTAATAAAATTAAAATACTAGTAGTTTAGACTAAGAGCGGGCAAACTTTTCACTAAACTATCGCGAAACTGTTGTGCGATTGTCGATTGTTTTGGAGCCCATTTAACTTTTTAGTTGCACAACAAAAAATCGACTAGTGTGTCTCCTCCATAAGTATATAAGCTCCATATAAGCTCATAAAAAGTAAAGCGCGACTAAACTGTTTTGATATTGTTTAGTCAAAGGTGTGTAAATTCACGTTTAGTAAGTCCATTATTATTTACTTAAGCGGTTGTTAAACGTCTCATGAGTTTTAGCAATTTTCTAGTATGCAAACGGTGTAAAAATATCTCTCTGTATTGAAGTATTTATGTTACATCTTTCAAGACATTTACTTTGGCAACAGGTTCCGTGCTAAGTGTAAAATCTCGACAAGCTATCTCCGTTTTATATTTATGACGTGAGATTCTATTTTCAATACGCGAACACACGTGAACTTATCGTTTAGTTCACGTGATTGATATACGGTATTGATGGATACTGCGTTTTGACATTTAGAAATACATGTGATATATTTATAAACGCTTGTTCCCGTTTCCGATAAGTATTGCATATATAGGTTGACATTCATCATTTTGGCAGTACGGTTCTATTATATTTATATATTTATGCAAACTGTATTTTTTATTCTTTGAACCCTTTTTTAATCTATGATCCATTTTTAATCTTTGAACCATTTTTTAATCTTTGAATCATTTTTTTAATCTTTGAACCATTCTTTAATCTTTGAACTCTTTCTTAAATTCGTGCCCTTTAAACGTACTCGTAAAGAGGGTAATGCTTTTCGCGTATGTATCATATGTTTGTTTTTTATTGACCGACTTCCCAAAAGAAGGAGGTATTCAATTCGACGGTATGTTATTTTTTTTTTATTTTTTTTTATGTGTGTTACGGCATAACTCCACCGCTAGTGGACCGATTTGGATAATTCTTTTTCTATCCGAAAGGTAATGCTTGCAGGTGGGTCCCATTTTTTTGTTTAATTTTTGGAGTCNATGTGGGTTTGTTGATTCCATTGTAATGGCCTACAGCCTAAACGAGTAAACCGATTTTAATGTTTGAGGTGTCGTTCAATTCGTCTTCTTCTCCGCAGTGTCATATTATCAGCACAAAACACCTGTAGCTGCAAAAAATAAAAATATGAACCAAGCCGAGTTCAAATCCCACTCGTCGTTACTTTAATTTTTAAATTCTTAATTATTTTTTCAAGTTTATCGAGTATTATATTAGAGTCAGTCCGTTTTTTTTTTAGTTAATTTAAAAAGATAACACTGATTACGAAATGCGATCGAGTTTGTTCCTTGTGCGTGCTACAAGGGGAACAGGTTGCTAGAATCAGATTATCCGTAAAAATATGACTTAGGGGTCTTCGAGAGAGTGGATAAGTATTTATTAAGGTAGCATGTAACATCTTTCGATAACATCCTCACTTAACATCAGGGATAGTAGTCAAGCGCCATCATCACCTACTTATGCCCTTAGGGTCGGCGCACCGGCTTTTCGTCCTCCAAATAACTCCATCATCTGTCATCTCAGAAACTAAGCTAAAGAAGATTTTTGAAAGAGGAAATATTTATAAATAAATAGTTCCCACCCGCACCCAATCTCCCTTTCCCACAAATATGTTAGGGGGAACGAGAGGGCGGCACCAAGCCGCCCATAAAAATAAAAAAATTAACTACCTGGAAATAATAGCAATTCAAAGTGAATCGATTCGTTGCAGAATTGCAGTGGATATAGAAGCGACTTGGGTTTAGTTTTACGATCAGTTTATATCCGCCACGAATCTGGAACAAATCGGGAACGCAATGCGTGCCAATAACTCGAAACTTGGATAGATCTTGGCTACGGAAATGAAATTAAATGGATGACAGAATATTAATGCAGTTTCAGAAATTCGATCAGACCAGATATGTGTACTATGTATTCCGTACTTCTTATCTTACTAATATTATAAATGCGATAGTTTGGAAGATTAATATTTGTTAAAGGTTGTCTAAATGTCTGAAGGGAACCCGATAAAATTTGGCATAGATGTAGAGGATAGTCTGGAAGAACATATAGACAACTGAGTTTTTTTTTATTCTATGCGCTCGCAGTCGCGGGTGTAAGCTAGTAAATAAATAAGTGATATTTTAAAAAGTAAATATTCGATTGATCTTAGTGAATCCGAAAGTTTTTTCTTTTTTTTTAATTCTTGTCTACGTTGTTTAAAAATGTTTAAAGGACTGTAGATTTTAAGTTGTAACACCGCGAGATTCCCCAACTGTACATTGATTATTGCTCTAAAATAAAAGACACAACTATGGTCAACTTGCTTTGCAGGAATTCACAGCTAATTTTAGTTGAATTAAGAAATTTCTTGTAACATTTTCTAAACGGACACATTCCAACAATAAATCATCTCACGATCCAATCCAAATTGTTAATGGAAGTTGGTATTCGGAGTAAAATGGGCCGTATCTAGGAAATTAATATTGTTACTTATCTATACTATTATAATAAAGCGTAAACACACACTTCTTTGTTGCCTAAGACGTCGGCAACTACAGCATATTTTTGAATAATTCTTTTTTTAATAAAAAGCCCTACACTTACTTCACGCTTTAGGCTACATATTTTCACGCCATTAAACTTAGGGGTAAATATTTTGGATAAAAACCCTAATGTGGGAAAGAGACCATAAGTTACTGCCAACATCAAGGACGCAAGGTTGCCATAGTCATTTTGACATTTAAAATTGATAATTTGATACTTGTAAATAATAAAACAAAATTTTCATAATTTTATGCGGATGAAGTCGCATGGGAACAGCTAGTTGTACAATAAATAAGGGTAGTCCGTCCCTTTTCAATTTAATGGACAGTGTGCAGGTGACTAATGCTGGGTTGCCGAAATTTCCACTTATTTTATCGTTACCTAACTCATTAGTATAAACTTGGTAAGTTACGGAGTGCATCTCAATCGTAGTTCGGAAATGCATTTCAAGTTATCGTACCAAAACATGGCCGGGCCATTAGTACTCAAAACACTCGTTAAATACATTGTAATTTCATTGTACTGTGCACACGCGACTCACCTCATTCATACGGTTTATTGTTTTAACACACTTTGCTGCTATTATGCGTTATAAACACAAACCAAAATAAAATAAAACTGACAAAGTTAGCAAATTTTATAGAAATCGTTTTGTTAAAGTTAGAGAACTGAGAAAAATATTTTTAAATTGCGAAAATTGAGTTAAAAAACATTCGCTGTAACTTTTTAATTGCAACATATATTTAAAAATTTAAAATCTTTGCTTTATTCCGCAACCAATAGATGGCGCTGTTATATATTAGAGTCTGAGTCAGTTTTTTATTATTTTGTTTTTATTTAGAAGGATGTTAGTTATGAATGTGGAGGGGTACATCGGTAGAGGTAGACCTAGAAAGAGATGGATGGATTGCGTGAAAGGTGACATGATGAAGGGAGTGACGACTGAGATGTCGGATGATAGAATGCTTTGGAGGACGAAAACCCGGTGCGCCGACCTTACGGGAGTAGGATAAGGCAGGGGAGATGATGCTGATTTATAAAATAAATCTTAAAACCCCGTATATCGTGAGTTATTGCAAATAGCGTAGTTTATTAGTTTATAACACATAAGCCGTATCCGGAATTTAGAAGGACTTTAATCGTCTCATAACAGTAAACTCGTTCTGCGATCGCCACATCACGTTTACTGCAGTTTTGCAGTTTCGCCGCAACTCAGAAGCAATTTCCTCGAAATGCTACAGACTTAGGGCTGCCAACTTAGAGAAAAACATACCCAAATAAGAGGCCGAAAAATTACCACTTGATTTGAAAAACACACTATTTGTTGATTAAAAAACCAAAAAAACTATACTGCCTTTAATGTTAAGACATTTTGGGGAAGAATACAAATCCAATGAGACTTCTCTAGTGAAAATAGGGTAAGCACTTATGGCTACAGACACAAATAAACTAACATACAGAACTCACAGTACAGAAATCAGGTCAAACTCGAAGTGGCAACCCTATCACAGCTTCTTATTCCTCAGTATCAATAAAGATTATTTTACTACTTTGAATGGTATTGAGTCGAAATGGCTAAAGCATAAACATTTATATCTATTATTTTCGTGTACGAATTTTTATTAGAGAAATAACAAAGTATCAGAAAAAGTTAGCATGGTATAAGCATGTTATGAGGGATGAATCGCATGCAACAAGGAGGTTAGTTATGTGGAGGTACACCGGTAGAGGTAGACGTAGAAATAGATGGATGGATAGGTCATCACCATCATCAACTTGCCCTTATCCCTTATGGAGGGTCGGCACAGTATGTGCTGCTCCATACATCTCTATCAGCTGTCATATCTGAATCCACTCTTTTCTTAAGTATATCTTTCTTAGCTTTCACACAATCCATACTTTCTTTGGTCTTCCTCTTCCTTTGTAGCCATCCACATTCATTCTTAAAACTTTCAGGTTTATGTCCCCAGCATGTTTATGTCGTGCGAGCAACAGTTAGTATTGAATAATTTCAATTTACCAATTAAATTAAAACAATTACCGCTAAAAATTAAACGAAGAATATATTGT